CAAGACCTTAGCACAGCAGTCGCGTACGTTACCGCTCCACCACCGAGGCAATCGACTCGCAATGAGATACGTAAAAAGTGTACTTTTCAAAAACTTAAGAATTTCTGCACCGATTATGCTCGGTTTTTGACACGAAATACAAACTTTTTCAAATATTGTTTTTCATAGATAAAAACAATGTTTGAAGCGGTTTGTATTTCGCGTCAGTTTTGATCCTTATTATTCATCAATTTTTATTTTTTTTTTATAAAAAAGACAACTCCCGCACTAGGAATAAATCCTGTGTCACGGGGGACTTTACAAACATACATGAAACAGACACAAAGTACACCCAGACTCAGAACAACAATTTGTGGATCACACAAAGTGTTGTCCCATGTGGGGTTTGAACCCAACAACACTCGGCGTAATAGAAAGCTGTTTGGCGACCGCTTAAACCACTACGCCATCCGTGCAGTCACCACAATGTGCCACAGCGAAGCGTGACAGACCTCTAGTAATGTATAAAATATTATATTATATATAGAATGGAAAACTCAGTACAGACTGTAAAATTTTACTGGAGACACAATTTTACAGCTAGTAAAATTTACTGACTTTATAATTTTTTTTTATTTGTTCAATTATACATATTATATACTAGCTGGTGCTCGCGACTTTGTTCGCGTGGAATTTGAAAAGGGAGTGGGCAAAATTTCATAGGGTTTTTTTTTGAGAAAAAAAATAGCCGAAGTTCCTCATTATGTAGACAACTACCGGATTGTAAAATATTATCAAAATTGGTCCAGCCGTTTTGAAGATTACCCTGGAACAAACAGACAGAAAAACAGACAAAATAAATTTAAACTAGTTTTTAGTGTGAGCATGCAGAAAACCTAATATTTTGACATTAAAAACAGACACTTCAATTAAATTTATTTGTATAGATAAAGATATACAATTTATCCTCAATATACTATCTTTACTGAAAATGTATCACTACCGCTTAAAATCCGATAAATAATATAAAATAAACCAGAAATAAATTCCTTCAGAAACTTCGGGTTTAAAGTTATTACGTTAAAAAGACTGACAAATCAGAATTCCTAAGAATTTTTTCTGATTATATTCCTACAAAATAACTACTAACTAAGAATCCATGACACATTCTTGATTATACTTCTCAGAATTTAAATATTTATTGGCACGTATCGTTATAAGGAAATATCCGTAGTGGAGATTTATTATCTATACTAATATACTAATATAATAAAGCTGAAGAGTTGGTTTGTTTGAACGCGCTAATCTCAGGAACTACTGGTCCGATTTGAAATAATCCTTCAATGTTAGATAGCCCATTTATCGAGGAAGGCTATATATATATCATCACGAAGACCAATAGGATCGGAGCACCAATGAAGAATGTTGCAAAAACGGGGAAAATTTATTCCTTTTAAAAGACGCAGACGTAATTGCACCGAGTCAGCTAGTATTTTATATTTGTATATGTATTTTATGAATCACTTCCTAAACCTTCATTGTAGATAACGTTCTCCATACAATAATGACTTATCAATATTGTACACAATAACCGAATTATATTTATACGTATAAGTGTATTACACTTGTGTGACGGGCCTGTTGGTCTAGTGGTTGGGTTTGATTCCTACCCAGGACATTGTGTGATGAGCACGATTACTTTTTGTGTCTGGGTGTAATTTATCTTCGGGGTATGTCGGGGCACCAGGGACTTCCTTTCTAGGGTATACCTGGTCATGTATTATTAGTACCCGAGACGGCGTGCGGTTTTAGTCGGTTCGAGTTCGACATGCCACCGACAAGTGGTATCCGAAGGGATTTCCGCATGTAAAAAAAAACAGTGTAATTTATCTATAATATGTATCTATTTAAAAATATAAAAGTATGTTTATCAGCAGTCTGCGACTTTCAAAAGGAATAAATTTTCACCGTTTTTGCTTTCCGTCTTTTTAATTTTTATATCAATTTATTATTAAAAAAAAAATAGTTTTTTACACAATAACATTTCAATTAGCGTCCTGTCATTTCTGTACAGTTATAAGACGTGAAACCAATTTACTGATCAGTCAATGTTCATCTTTGTGAATATACTACTTCCACTGATGAATATAAATGAAGACTCATCACCGTACCATCAAAACGTACGTCTTAATTTATTAACTCAAGATTGAGTGCGTAACAAATCTTGCTGTTACCCTCATTAAGAACAAGATACAATTAGATAAAATTGTTGGTGAGATAAGGTACGGCGCGCATTGCACGATTCTGTCGCGAATGGCGATTATAACCCGGCAATCTCGTGCGCGACCGTCAACGCGGGGTGACAGACAGTGGCGGGGGCGAGGTAGCGCGTCATTCTAGCACACGGCTACACACGATTTCCTTCCCCGCTACACCACCCGCTACCCGCTGACATCTTGAGTACCTCGTCCCCGGCACCGTCTGTCATCCCGCAGGACGGTCGCGCACGACGTTGATGGACCATAGACGATAACTTTTGGTCCACTGCTTACCCCATATTATCATCGTTTAAGGGACTAATTCCTGACGCTGTCTTCAGCAATATAGTTGTTACTAGCGCAAGAAATGAGTAAAACGGCACACACAACCCACTTATCATACACTCGTATTTTTAATTGTTTAAATATGTTGTAAGATTCGATTTTAACAGCAATGCGTAGTATGGTGATTTATTTAGATGTTTTAAATTATAAATTATTTGACGTTGTGAGTAGAAAGTCCTTCATCTTTTAGAATTCTAGCCATTTGTAAATACACTTACGAGTGTTAGGTTCAGGGACTTACAAGAGAATTGCTGTAAATTCAATTCCTTTTCGGATGAATACAACCCATGGTTACGTTATGCACTGTTTAATTTACGCTTATTTTTACACTAGGAATACTTCCCGTGTCGCAGGGGACTTTACAAACATACATAATCAATAATAATATCTTATATATAAAATTCTCGAAAACGAACGGCTTCTCCGAAACGGCTTGACCGATTCTCATGAAATTTTGTGTGCACATCGGGTAGGTCAGAGAATCGGCCAACATCTATTTTTCATACCCCTAAATGGTAAGGGTGACCCATCCCTAATTTTTTTTTTGTTTTGCAATACAACGTTTGCCAGGTCAGCTAGTATATTTATACATGTAACGGACACAAAGAGCACCCAGATTGAGGATTACACAATGTCCATGTCACGTCATCCGTGCAGGCGAAATCGTCATCAGTTCAGAAGCGTCAGTAACGTATTTACTATGAAGTTTAATTTTTCATACCTTATTAACCCATATTATTATCGAATGATTATATGGTCTTATTAAAAAATGTCGCACAATGCGCGCGTAGCTTATATTCCAGTAAAATGATGTCACGACGCATTGCAAGTTATTCTATTGTTCTGTTACTGATACTTTGTACGATAAGATATATTTGATATCGACATTAGCTTTTATACAATAGATGTTACACTAGCTGTAGACATAATATTTTGTAACAATATAATTGTAACGTACGTACTGACGTAGGTACTGCACTATTGGTTATTAGAAGTTTCACTACGGTGAACATAACATAATAAAAGGGTTAAATTTTAATCCTACCCACTATTTAATAATCAGTCTCAGAGTAGGGCGCCTAAGACCGGACCATCGCGAATGGTTTTTAGGGGTAATACAACACTGATGGCTCCAGCATTATCACCGTAATGGCATCAACCGGAGTCGGATAAAAATAATAATTTCATATACCCATTGTCACTCTCACAACTAAGACGAATTTAACAACAACTCAAAGAAAATCGCCAAAATCGATCAAGCCGTTTAGGCGTGCGCCAACATACACACATGCATACAAAATAAAAAAGTAGAAGTTTTTTTTTGTCATACCTTTGAGTCTTCTTTTTTATTTTACCTTCGATTAGCTTCGTTGTTATGAAAAATGTAATCGACTACACTACATAAAAAAAAAGCTACGGTCGAAACACTAAAAAAAAAGTTAAAATACAACTCTCTGCCAAAAGACAATTTACGCGCCAACCAGCCGCCATATTGTTTTTATGTTCAATAACATTTTAGTCGGTGTAACTCAGGATGCTGTTAGGATTCTAATTAACCTAAAACATCGAAATTAGTTCACACATTTAGAAGTTATAGTACATATGAATGACTCCTGAAAACATTACAATGCTATTTTTGGGCAGTTGTGTAATGACTAGTCCAGATATTTAAATAATACCCAAAATGGTCGATTAATGCCTCGGTAAGTTTTTATTTGCGGGTTTACTTGCATTGATAGCATATAGATCTTCATTCTTATTATCATTAAAAAAACTACCATGAGATTAAAAAACAAAACTATGGATTGTTTTACTAATAACTATTTAAACATGAATCCTATACTTATTCTTAGAAAATAAAAATGATACAAGAACGACATGGCCGTGTAGTATTACTGCTTTCCCACCCAGTAACACTCGTTCACAATAACCCACAATTTAAGCAAAAACAATATATAGGACAACTCAATTATAAACCTTAACGTGTTGCAATAGAGCCCACTCATGAGCATGTATTCCTTTTGTGGAGCATCTGATCGATCAATGTCCCATCGATTGAGTCGTAACTTTTCGTTGACTCTTATTGCTAGGAACGTAAGGTTGTAAATAGTTTCAGTAAGTTATTTATCTGGTACTATCGTATGTCAAGAAAGATAAGCGATGAGGTTCAGTGTTCAGTCACTTTGACAACTGTGTCAGTCGGTGGTCGCACGGCTGCGCCTACGCACGTCTTGCGGTCGGTGCTTCGTTCAAATGTTGAATTTGTTCCGATGTTTTCCTTGTGACACTTTTAAACATATCATGTATTTTATAGCAATATTTTCCCTTTAGTTGTGTGTGAAAAGTTTAAAACTGACATATTGAATTATTTAGTAAATTGTGATAGTGAATTGACTGTGATAAAATTAACATTCCAAGATGAATCGTCGAATGAAGCTGAATGTAGATCCTGATTTGGGGGACTTAGAGGAGATGTTAGCGAATGTTCAGAACCAATTAGAACATGAGATAGATCTTGAGAAGGAGAAAGAGTCCAAAATGACTTCTCTTATAAACGTCCAGGAATCGCCAAAGATGGTTAAAAGGGCATCATCTTTTAACAAAAGCCAGAGCTTTGATCATCGAAGAAATCCTCCGAAGCTACCTCCTACTAGATCAGATTCTTACAATACTTCTCCAGGTGACAACTATGCAGAGTACAGAAATGGGAGTGATGGTTACAAAAGCGAGGAGTACTCCCAGCCTGAGACCAATGGCAAATTTAAAGGATCTCAGACAAGTTTGAAGTCTGATGAAGGATCTCAAGTTTCCTTTCAGTCTTTCCGTTCTGAGCCTTCGAGACATTCAGTATTGAGTCTTCGTGAGGAAAAACGAGGATCTTATGCTTCTTTGAATGGCAGATCCAGGACGGCTACGCTGCCAAGAGGATATGGATCGACGAAGGAGAAGAATTGGGAGGAGTATTGGTCTTAGTGAGTATATCTTTTATTTAGTTACATTATGATGTTTTACGCAAAGCGAAGGGACTTAGTTTTTATATATTGTATCTGAACTTGAGAATAATCACAATATTAACATAGGAAGTAGAAAGTTATTTTAAGAAATGGTTATCAGGTTTATTAATTATTAATACTAGCTGTGCACGCGCTATTACGCGCGGTTTTTTTTAATATATTTCAATTTCTTGCTCATCTCATAGGAACACTATATTTTTCGGGATACGCCTACGTGTCGGCTACCTGGATACCAATTATCAAGATTGGTGCAGTTGTTTGAGCGTAAAGAAGTAACACACATACACACAAACTTTTTTAGCATGTTAGTATGAGTTAGGATGTTAACCAGAGATCGCTTGGCGGTCGAATTTCGACCGTATTGAATATCATGTTTTGTTTCCTTGACTAGTATAACTTGATCTGTCATTGTATAGACTTTTGTAGTGTGATAAGTAAAATTTATAAATTTATACTACTCTACAGTTTTATGTTTGCTTTTTTTCCATAGTTTGTAACTTTGTAGCACATATAGTTTAAAAATATTAGATTTGTTGCACTTTTTCTACATATAAACAAAATATATACCAAATATCATATGCTTCCGCGTGCCACATTTGTTTAAGAAAGGTTATATTCAACATCATTTACGTAATACTGAAAAGAATACTAGCAGAACCATGCACCTTTGTCTACGTCTTAAAAATAATAAACTCTGCTAGTTTTGCAGCATTTTTTATTGCTCCAATAGGTATACTAAAAATAAGATTTTGTATTGCACCGAATTGTGATTCTAAACCATTCGAGAATCCACTTGAACACACACAAAAATTTCATCTAAATCGGTTTAGCGGTTTAAGCGTGAAGAGTAACACAGACAGACACACTTTCGCATTTATAATTTTAGTATGGATAAATAAAAACAAGGTATCATAAGATATGCAAGTTCATAAGAGTCTGTTATCATCTCTCATAATTGTATGATCCATCGCATATGTGGAACGAAGATAGTACATTCGACGACATAGGACACAGGTTCTATGCCCGCTCAGTACAAATATTTGTATAAGTATGTTTAGCAGCGTTGGTGTGGGTAATGTGTGGTGTGAAAAAATTCAATTCCCGAGAGGCAGTACAAAATGCCTTTGAAGAGTTTGTTGCCTCCCGTCCAGCAGATTTTTACAAGAAGGGCATCAATAAACTGCCAATGCGTTGGCAAAGATGCGTCGATTGCATGGGTGATTACTTCGAATAACAGAAATAAAAAAGTTTGAAAAAATAAGTACTTTCACTTATTGCATACAAAACGGCAATTTCATAGGTAAAGACCTAATATAAGCTTCGCACATCTCACACACCGCAGTCTGATCTCAAACTGGAAAGAACCTGTAACCAGACTGCTGATAAACATATTCAAACATTTCTAAATAGATACATATTATAGTTAAAATACACCCAGACTCGGAACAAATGATCGTGCTCATCATCATCAACAGCCTATGATAGTCCACTGCTGGACATAGGTCTCTCCTTAGAAAGCAGGTTTTGGCCTACTATACCACGCTGGCCAGACGGGTTGGTATAGGGTATAGGGACAGCCTCATGCCGCCCTGAGTGTGGCCGCGGGTGGACGGGGTGGGTTTCCCCTCCACCCGCATTAGTTTGGCCAGCCGCGAGGGGGCGGCGTCCGCGTGTGCCGGACGTCGCCTAAAGAGAGGAAAACAACAATATTGAGACGGAGCCCGCACCAGGAGCGGGCTGGCGCTAGGAGGGGTCCGGATGTCTTAACAACAGCTGTTCCCGGATCCCTCCTGTTACAGGCGCAGAGTGGCACACCGTGTGGTTTTAGTCGGTCCGAGTCCGACACACCACCCCGCCGCAAACCCCGGAGGGGTGACGGTCCGAGGGGATTTCCACACGTAAAAAAAAAAAAAAAAAAGGGTTTGTTTCAAGTTTTCCTTCTCTTTGCAGTGCTGTTGTCTTGCGTAGTTTTCTCCCTTAGTCGACTTTTAAGACACCCACGGGATGAATAGGGGTGGTGACATTACGTATTCTTAATCTGTCACCACACGGATGACGGATCGTGCTCATCACACATTATTTGTCCTGGGTAGGAATCGAACCCACAACCTCTGGTTTAGCTGTTAGAGGGTTCTAGGGTACCACTAGATCGACATTGCCGTCAATATCACATATTCACACACACACACACACACACACACACACACACACACTTCTGGACGCCATAACTCAAACAATACTTAACTTAAGTCTAAATAGCGGTATGTTTTATGTCCCAGACTATTTAATTATGATTTATCTAAAGACTCATCATATTTTATATTAATGGTTTTCAAGTTATAAACGCAATAAACGAACGGACAATCAATCCTTGTTGTAAGAAAGGTTATTGTATCAGGTTCGCCGATTGACTTAAACTATCTTTGATTTGTGATGCTCTGGGTTTCGCTCTCAGCTTCGCTCATTTGTACGTTGATTATAACAATTAGAATAACAATATAATCTATCTCTTTCACACTTTTTACACCCTTTCACAACACAATTCGGCATTTTTACTTGTACATATTGTTGACATTTTTGATGACCTTTTGACTGACAAGGCGTAGTTTCTTGTGTTACACGCCAAGGCGTAGTTTTAATTGCCATCACTTCTTTATTCACAGACTACCATATTAACTTTTTTATTCGATCTGAGTTTTACAGATGGTACTTTTACTTCAAATTCGAATGGGACTAAACGGGAATTTTACCCTCACAAATAAGAAATAAGACTTTTCTAAATCGATTCGTTAATGACGCAGTTCTGAGGTAGAATGTAATCGCATTTCACACATAAGTAAGTGTAGAAACCAATATTTTCAATAAATAAAAATAATTATGATGGCCCGCGCACACGTGTTTATAAAACCTCATCTCACTTCATTCCTTGCAAAGTTCCATCCTGACTATTTGAGCTGTAAGGATAGAAAGTTAAGCAAAGAAGAATACAGTTTGTTACAATTTTCATCATGATGCTTGAAAGTTTAAATGCACTTTGAAGTCAGTAAAACTTTTAAATTTATTATCTATAACTTCTATAAGACAAATATAACCAATATTATTTATTATTTTTAGTACCTTACTTCATTCTTAAAGTTTACAACCATAAAGCTAGTTTGTTCCTTTTTTTATAGCTTTCTTTTCATCTGTGGTATTTTTTGGCGGGGTAATTAGAGAAAAAGGTTTATTCTTAGAACCAAATAGTTTTTGTTAGTTAGGTTAATGACCTTATTGTAGGCTGTGTGCCGCTGCGACCGTTGTCAGTTTTTGTTCATTGTTTGATTTCAAGTAATTATTTGAGTTCTAATTTGTCATGGATACCCTTTGTTATTTTAGTGAAATAGCGGGAATCTTTAATGTATTTTAAAAGTAGTTTTAATATGGCGAAAGAGTATTAGATTGTTCTATTTTAAGCTTCTATAGTCATTAATGCTAATATTGATTAAGAACAAGTGGTACAGTACAGTACAGTAGCATTTAAAAAAAAACATACCTACTTCAAGCACTACCACCACATGTATGATTTTTTTTATGGTATAGGGGGCAAACGAGCATACCTGATAGTAAGTGACTACCCCTGCCCATGGACACATAGGAACTAAAGTGACAAGTTTGAGTCCCCTGTCCCCTCAGGAACTAGGAGAACGAAGAGTTTCGGCTTCAGAAACCTCACACACTCAGTGAAAACCAACGATGCATAACAACAGTTTTCTGTGAGGACGTGGTATGACTCCGGTCGAACCGAATTTGTACTGAAGCATGACTCTCCTATAGAAATATATGTTACTAAATACTGGTGACGTAGTCCGTGTGGAGACGGATTAAGAATACGGAATGTCACCACCCCAATTCATCCCGTGGGTGTCTTAAGAGCCGACTAAGAGAACAAACTACGCAGGATAGCATCACTGTGAAAAGAAGGAAAACTTGTAATAAACCCTATACCAACCCGTCTGGCCAGCGTGGTATAGTAGGCCAAACCTCCTTTCTAAGGAGAGGCCTATGTCCAGCAGTGGACTATTAAAGGTTGTTGATGAAATACTGGTACCGAATATTTTTTATAATAAACTTCTTTCTCTCTGGCTATTAATAATGAGATTTGTACCAATATATTTAAATGATTGTTACATCAGTTTACAAGCCGTGAAGTAATAGAATAATTGACATACAATTTTCAATTTTTAAAGATATATTTGAACCGGTCGGACATTTAAAAAATATAACAATGGTTAAAATGGGTGGTCTCTTATTTGTATAAAGAGTAAAGACAGCAACAAAAAAAAAGAAAGTTGGTTAGGAGTTATAAACCAAATTGGAGTATCGTTGCCTTAAGTTATCAGGAAAGATCCTTTAATAAGTGTAAGAAAGGATTTTATAAGGATACTAGAACAAATTACTTAATGTAATGTAGTTGCGCATGCGCATGTATTGTTACAAGGTTGAAACGTACTTAGTGTTATTGTAAACAGACATTGAAACGGATGTTTTTGGTGTAGTCGTGAGTGAATTGATTCTTAGATTACCAAAATATATATCCAGTATATTTCTACATTAAAAAAAACAATTGCTGCTGGTTTAAGCGGTTATCTCGCCGCTTCCTACAGCGCCGAGTGTTATGGTCCCCACATGGGACAACACTTTGTGTGATCCAAAACTTGTTGTTCTGAGTCTGGGTGTTCTTTGTGTCCGTTTCATATATAATATGTTATTAAAAAAAACCTGTCCTTGTAACTTTTACCCACTTAAACAGATTGAAAGGAACAACATTCAACTTAAACTGAATGCTAATTAATTATGATTTTAGAGCTTAGAGGTACTTTTTTGGTGACAAGGTGGGTAATCCTCCAGCTCCTTTAGGACACAGGAGTCAGTAGTCGCGGCTTTGATTTCCAGCCAAGACTACGTGGGTTTGATTCCCA